TGGCTTCATAAGTAACCTTGAATTTATGTGTAAAATTGAAAGAATGTTTTAGATTTTAGTCCAAAGTATCATGAAGGACCATTTATCGGAAAGATTGATTCAACTGGATTGTTTCCGAGACTACGTTTCCTGCAAGGACTTGGCTTTCAATCTCAACTGACCAAAAAAAGGCAAGTCTCAATAACGACCAATGAAGCTTTGAATTCCGCAACTGTTGCTCTATTTAGTAACTTGGAAAAACCACAGTTCAATATTAAAACACGTCATTTTGTATGGATGTCCCATTGCTTCACCTTGTTTATTTTTTATTTCAATTGTCACCATTGATGACTTTAGAGAATGTAATGTTTGATTACGTTTGTGTCATTATGTATTCATGTGTTGGAAGGATGGATGAAATGATTTCTGTTCAAAACATTTTAAACATGACCCTTTTTTTGGTCAAAAATGACACTCAAATTAATTTTTAGTTGTTTTTTTTCTTCAAATATTTGCTAAATAACTGAAGTTTAATTTATGAAAGGTATATTTTTTTTAAGGCAGCAATATTATGCATTCACTAAATTCAGTAGAGTTTTATTTTGTACGGGTTGAATTCGTCCTACACTTACGCTATAAACTGACTGGTGCCATCTCATATACATCTTGCTCAGACGTTGCTAGACAAAACTAATATCCAATCATTGAAAGAAAGGATGACAGAAATGTCTTAAAATAAAAGCCATGTTGGTTACCAATAAACTGCTGCTCTTTTTATCTTTTCATTGATTGATATTTTACAGAAATATTTGAAGACAGAATGAGTTGGTTGTTTTTTTAATAAAGTATACATGCTAGAGACTTTGCATTTGGTGAGGATGAACCTTTGAAGCAATGATTACTTGTATTGTTTAAAATCGACATGTTTTATTTTACATAATTTGCAATCAATCTTTTTTATTTTAGTAATTGATCATTTGTTCATCTTTTTGTGTGCATTAGCAATGCTTGACGTGTCATAGACGTTATTTCATTTTGTTTTCTGTTCTGTTTATGAGCGTTCACGGAATTTATTTTTTGCAGTATTAAAAGCAATTTTAAAAAAAAAATCATGTTAGTTTGTTTTATAAAATATAATTTCTTTGAATAACTTGTCTCAGTTAAAATAAAAATCTGTTTTGTGAAGGCTTCGAAATATAAAGGCTTAAGCCTTGTGGCGTACCACAGTTGTAAAGGTTGAAACAAAGACCAGTGGACGAGCCGAGCCAGGTCGGAGTAACCACATTGTTCATTATAAGAAGAGTTTATGGGGAAAGAATGCCTTCATTTCACCGGTTAGAGCAGTGCTAGAGAGGAGGACAGCTAACCTCTGCTTCAGAATGTCAATATGTCATTACTGGAGCAACCACAAGTCATAAAAAAGCTAAATTTGATGTTGCATTCAACGACAAGGAGACACTGTCAGTTATGTTATACCCCTGAAGACGTTTTAGGAGATTTTAAACTATTTTATAATTTTTAGTGTTTTAAACTCGTCTTTGATCAAAAATTTCTTTTTTAAAAAGTTTTTTGTTAATGTATTTTTTTTATTTGCTAGAGATACCGGGTATTTAAATGGTGCCACACGGCCAAATATAGAAGATAAGCATTTATTGGTTGGGGGCGAAGCTGGTCGTTTGAAGGGTGGGTCAACCTGAAAGGAGCATGTGAGCGGGAGCCCCAAGCCGACCGTCATCCATTCTCAGAGTGCATCCATAATCAAGTAATCCGTCTGTACCCTGCTTTCCAATCGCGCGCGTCATAGCTATTTTTGGACGGTTTGTGTTGGATGAGGAGAATTTGATAGAAAAAAAACAACAACAAAAAAACATCTGGTCTTGAACTTTTAGAACTCAAGGACATATTGTCCTTATGTTAGTTTGATGTCTCTCACAGAAGGTCATTTACGTGTTTTCATACGTTAGATAGTCCATTAGGTGGTACTAACTGAGAGCTTTACGGCTCGCCATCAATTTTATGACCTATGGCTTCGTACTTTTAGGTTTGAATGGATCTCGAAAGTAACGTGACTAACTCTATTTACGACCAACATTTATTGGCCCACTCAATACAATCCACCATTTCTCATTCTTTCATACACAATTTTTCATTCAACTGTTACCCCACCTCCTGCCCCCTTCCCCCTTTGAAACATCCCACCCTCAAGTCCCGCCGACCGTGTCCCCAATAAAATACCTAGCTATTTCCATTCAACACATTTTACTTAATAAATAAGACATCATTGCCTTGTTGCAGGGAAGAATTTTTAGTTTAATTTTCTCTAGTATTTGGACCCATCAAATTATAACTGTGTGTACGCCAACCAAAGACACTGACCCATGACTTATACAGACACGTCAGACGCCAACCAAAGGCACGTTAGAAGATTATTAAAGTTTTAGCAAGTATTGGTGACAACGAAATTAAAACAAAGAGAGAAGATATGATATGTAATATACATTTATTTATATATTTACAGTTATGCTTTGCATAGTGCACGAATCAACCAGCAAGCCAATAAACGAACTATCTATTATATCAAAACAACTGGGAGTGTTCATTAGATACGCGAATGAGAGTTTTGAAAAGGAAATATACGTCAAACAGCTCCCTTCGTGTAACCAATCAGTATTGCCGTTTGCAAAGCACTACACTCACAGACGGGATATTTCACAAGTGACAGCAATGAAAAGAATGAAAACCACCGGCAAATACCAGTAATAGCCGTGAAAATGAAGACAAAGAGAAATGCACCCGAGCTGGGGCGTCGCCTCGTCTATGAGGACCCAAGTAGCTTGGCAGCACTCGCGGCGCTTCGAAAAATCCGCTACTGTGACGAACACAAACATACATTTAAATATGCTACCTAGCAAAGTCTGTTGGAAATCAAACAAACAAAAAAACAGAGAGGTCCCATCTCCTGGAAATGAAACAAGTACATATGGTATTACTACAAGAAACTTTACACCACTTTACAGACCGACATATCAAAGGGTAAACGACATATCAAAGGGTAAACGCATTACATTTGCACGTACCATGACTGTAGGTGCATCGTCACTTACAAAAGAGATGACACCAAAAGTGAATTTGGTGCAATCTCCACTGCTCAGCTTACATGTATCCAAACATCTACTGTTTATTAACATGGTAAAAATATACAGTTTGTAACATATACACCCACCCACCCCCCTAACAAAAATAACTTCAACTTTGCCCACCTAAAGAACACATATACTCCAAGACATGCTTGCTGGTGATTTGAATGGGCACTTCCCTCATGGGTAGTGATCACAGACCCATTCTCACGTGGACGGCATAGGTAGTGATCACCGACCCATTCTCACGTGGACTGCATAGGTAGTGATCACAGAGTCATTCTCACGTGGACGGCATAGGTAGTGATCACAGAGTCATTCTCACGTGGCGGCATAGGTAGTGATCACAGAGTCATTCTCACGTGGACGGCATAGGTAGTGATCACAGACCCATTCGCACGTGGACGGCATAGGTAGTGATCACAGACCCATTCTCACGACACCTGATACAACAAAATGCTGGAATTTAAAATAACAAGCAAACTAGGATTTATTTAAAGCAAGAAGTGATGGGCTACTTAGTGACATCACCCAAAACACCACACACAATAATATCAGTGAATAGATAACCAAAGCCATGCAAAGATAAACAAAGCCATGCAGAGATAACGAAAGCCATGCAGAGATAACCAAAGCCATGCAGAGATAACCAAAGCCATGCAGAGATAACCAAAGCCATGCAGAGATAACCAAAGCCATGCAGAGATAACGAAAGCCATGCAGAGATAACCAAAGCCATGCAGAGATAACCAAAGCCATGCAGAGATAACGAAAGCCATGCAGAGATAACCAAAGCCATGTAAAGAGCTGACTCCCTTGAGTATGCCAAGAGGTTGCAGGAGGCAAAAAAAAATCTTTCTGAGACAAAAAAGTGCACCATACAAACCGGAAAAAATTCCAGAAAAAATTCCAGAAAAACTTTAGAATATAATCAGAAATCATCATTCTTGAACACGCATTTTCCCTCAATCAACAAGTAACAAGACAAACAAGAAAAGACAGGCAGTGACATATCCTTAAAAGATGACCTAAAGGCCAAAGAGAGATTAACTTGGCCATGTGAATCATTATTATCTAAATTTAGATTCATCATTTGGACACACAGATACTTAATTTTTTAAAGTCAATATTTAGAGGCCGAGATAAGCTGCACTTTGGGTAAAAGAATCCAACTTGGAGTTTTAAAACTTTTTAATGAAAAGGAATGTGTCACATTTCATATTTTTTGAAAATATCTTAAACAAATTATTGATTCCTTCAATTTGATAGAGTATTCCATGATAGATATATGTATAGCGTGGCAAATGTTAAATTGCACAACTGTTGCTTTTTGGGGGTAAAATGCTTTGCCCACCAATTCTTTTTCTGCAGCGTTTCCCAAACTTATAAGTTTAGCGGGACGGTGAACAGATTTCGAAATCGCCCAAGGAGGCCAGAGACATTTCTATTTATAATATATATTCTTGTGATTTGACCATACTATTCCTGTTGTGAGGACCGGGTACGAAACGAGGCTCAAGGATCAGTGCCAGTCCGCGCACCGCTATTAGCGGGTTGGGAGTGGGGGGGGGGGTATGTCAGGGGAACTTTGCACTATTCATTAAACAATTTTATGCCTTAATATCATATAACATAAATAGTTAAGAATTTGTCGGGGAGAACACCAACATCTGCTCGATAGATAGAGCAAATAGGCAATAAACCTTCTCCCAAACACTGTTTGTTGCACTGCCTCGCGTAAGTACGAAATGAAGGCCATATCACCATAAAATTTTGTTGAGTAGGATTGACCTTGAAAGATGAACAGCTGGACTGTGTGGATTTTCCAGCACCACATGTATATAAAGAATTTGAAGCCATGGTTGTGTTACCCCCACGACCACCTTGGTCCAATCTTGAGGTTGTCGAGTCCCAGATCTCGCAAATAAGAGATTCCACCAAGATCAATGAAAATGCTCGCACTTGCAGTTATCTTCACTCTGATTGGTATGTGCTTTTCATTTTTTTTTTTTAATTTAAAAATGATATTTTAAAAAAAATTTTAATAAAAAATACCAAATTTAATTTTGTAGGATTTACTACGATCCGTGAACAACATTTCGCAGATACAACTGCGCAAATTTACGAAATTAATAAGTAGATATTCTTAAAACTTAAAGAAGGAGAAATGAGAAAGATTGAAACGTAGAAGTGAACACAACAATAAGACGGGCATTTCAACTGAACGCTGTAAGCCACAGACAGAAGTTAACAAGAAGAGGAACGTTAAGGTAGCTTCAGAAGAGGTAGGCCTCAACATTGGAGGAAATAAAAACCTAGAAAGTGAACAATTACAACAGTTGTGGTAAAGGAGATAAGTTTAAAAGAAAACTGCTACTTCTTTATAAGTAAATACCCAAATTGGCGAGATATTATTCATCATTGCTTTATTAAAAATGCAATCTATTTTAATAAAAATTATTTTAATAAAAAATTACTTTTATTTCCCTTCTAAAATGGACAATGGGTGAAACCCGGGCCAAGGAATGGTTACATTCGTTGTTTTTGGAAATTTCTTGAATTTCACACTTTTCACGTAAAATATTATATAACTTATTCCCAGATGATGTTTAAAAAAAAAAACATTAAAAAAATATCTTAACAGCCACTAATCTGGCCCTGACGGAGCAGCAGAGTAAACTCATGAAGAGAATCGTCAACGGCCAACCCACCAAGCTATTTGAAAGACCATACCAGGCGTCTCTGCAAGTCCTGTACTTGGGCAACTGGTACCACATATGTGGCGCCAGTATTATCGATTGTGATAGGGTGAGTACAAGTCAACAGGGTATCACGGTAGCACGTGTTCTTATTACGCAGCGAAAAGAAAGATGGTCATGGAAATAGTCTTCTGATCTAATTAGTAAAAACTTCGCATCAGGCTGAGATTTTTAAAACACTTCAACGTAATATGTAATCGATTGTTTTAAACACTCCAATATACTATCTTATCATTTTGACCATTGTTAAAAAAATTACAATACCAACCAACAGATCTGGTCTCGCTCGTGTTTGTATTAGAAATAGAAACAAACAAATCTAAGGTATTGTCTTGGTACAGGTAAATGATGTTAGGCGCTGTCGAAAACCCATCCCTAAAGTATCAAATAAAATTAAAAATTTTCTCATATTAGAAAACCAGATTTATAATAACTCTAGGAAACATTAAATTGGAGCCCCATTCCCGTTTTGTCACTATTAGCGCTTGGCACGAACCGAAAACCATGATTTTAAGACAAATCCAACTTTTAAAACATGTCTTATTTTTTTTAAAAATGGTATTCACCAATGACTTTGTCATTACTAATTAAAATAAAATAGGATACATCCGACAGGAACCGATTGCACAAGGGGCTGTTTAAGTTTTCCCTTGAGATCGGGTCACTACAAAACTCATTCACATTAAGAGTCAAAAAAATGCTTCCAATCCATCCCACTAGAATTGGGAGGAAATTTTGGCCAAGATGTTTGCATTTTGACCATCAGGACTTCCCGGCGCCAACAGAACTTATTCTTTAATGTTTTATCGCAGTCAGTGTTAAAGGTTGGATAAAGAAATATAAGGATAAAGTATGCTCAACTTGAATGAACAGACAGGACAAAGGGATTTGGACGTTTAAGCGTAGAGCCTTCAGCAGCAAACAAGATCACACAAAAAAAGGTATGACAAGTAAGAGAGCGCAGTAAAAAAAACAAAACAAAAAAAAAAACTTAAGAAATGTTACTGCGCTCCGTTTCTTGTCACAGTTCTTTGTGTCTCGTTTGCTGATGAAGACTCTAAGCCGAAACATCCAGAACTTTTGACCCGTCTGTTCTTTCAAGTTTAGCATACTTGGTCATTATATTTAATTTACACAAATTGAATAAAGTCCCACAATTATTATCTTGGATAAAGAACAAATATTTTTTATAAAAATTGTTGCATTAAAATAGGCCAAAAACCTCTACAGATAGAGTGTTTAATTCAAGTCAAATTTGCCCCCTCCTCCTTGCCCCCACCACCCCTCCCCCCAAAAAAAAATAAGTATATATTATTGACTTGATATCCATGGATATATGTATAAGCACAATGAAAGGCATGTTTACCAAAAAAGTTCATATGGCCGAGATGACACAATTTACAAAGAAGCTTACATTGTAGGCTACACATTCCTGTATTGCTTTGGGGAACTGTTGCTATATATTTAATTAACATATTTACAATGAAATAAACCGTAGACCTCCCTTCACTTATTTCAAAGTTTCTAGAAACTTGAAAAAATTATCTTTACACTTATTTCATGACACTTGAGGACAGCTGTTGAGACCTAAGAAATATAAGAAACAATAAAAAGGACATTGATACAATTCGTAAAAGACTTATTTAAAACAGACAATTGAAAATAATTCCAGAATGTGGTAGAATCTGTAAGAAACTTATAAAAGATTTATTTTCATATGCCAGGGAAATTCCAAGGAAAGTATTAAAAAAAAAAATCGATACAATTAAAATAAAGTGTGCATTACATTTTAGATGCCTTTCAGACACTCTATATATGCTCGAACATTTTTTTTTAAAACCTTCAAATAACTTGTACAATTATTATTCTAGGTAATAATTTTTTATAAAAGTAAAAGATCTAATATAAAATTCTGCAGTTTTTAGAGTTTTCCATTACAGTTAGAATAGACACAAAGACCTTGGTGGGAAGCTCTTCTATAAGGAGACTTTTAAATTACAAATAAGGTAGTAACCCAGAATAATTCATGAGATGAATGGTCAAGTTCAAATTTAAAAGCTTGTCCCGCTACAAGCGGGTGAAAATTGCAAGAGGTTAAGCCTATACATGGGCGATTAGTATCCCTGGCCTCAACAGCGGTAAATATGAGTTAAAAGCATTCAGCTTTTTTACTACATGTACTTAATTGCATTTGTGTCAATTATCGCAAAGAACTGATGCCAGTTTTTCAGTGGCAGCTGCATTATGTTTCATGTCATTTATTATTTCAGTGCTGACTGCATCATGATGCACGTCAATAATCGTGTCTGTGATTTAGTGATAACTGAATAAGTTCATTACCGGCTACAATATTGTATGCGTCACTCGTCCTCAGCTTCTGACGGCTGCCCATTGCTTGATTTTCCCGGCCGAGACCATGAGAGTTCAAGTTGGGCTCCTCAACCTCACCGCACCACCCAACGAATACCAGCAGACCATCGAGATTAAGGCCTTCAAAGCCCACGAGGATTACATTAATGATATTTCCCTTGGTGTTCCCAACGACATCGGCCTCCTCTACACGAAGACACCGTTTCAGTTCAATGCCAACGTGCAGGTGAGTGACGCACTTGACACTTGTGACTCATGGACGTGGTTATAATCTCGAGTTGGTGCTTACACAAGCATCTATCATAATGCCGGAAACATCAGTAATGAAGGGGCGTAACCGTGGGCAGTTTTTTCAACACCGGGTCCAGGTATTTTGAACATTAACAATTGTCCTACAGGCAGTCCTACAGGCAGTCCTACAGGCAGTCCTACAGGCAGTCCTACAGGCAGTCCTACAGGCAGTCCTACAGGCAGTCCTACAGGCAGTCCTACACGTAACATATCGGCCGTTAAACAGTAGGCCTACAGAAATCCTACAGACAGTACAACAGACAGGCACACAGACAGTCCCTCAGACAGGCAGTCCTTGAGATGCTTCCATTCATTTAATAGGCCAGCCTTATTAAGTTCTTCGTGACACCACATATTAGCCGCATCTTTCTCATGTTATTCAGCTCATCGGAATCAATTGTTTTTTTTAAATTGATAATTATCATTTTGAATCCAGCTCAAAGATTGGGGCCAACTGTTTCTCAAAGACAAGAACAATCAATTGATACTTTACGGTTCTTTTTATTTTCTTTCTTTGTTTTTTTAGCCGGTTAAAATAGCTTCCCCCGGCCTGACATTTGACAATACAAAGTGCGTCATTTCTGGATGGGGGAAAACGTCCGGAACCTCAGCTGGCTCAAACATCCTCATGGAGGTGGCTATGACCAAGATCACACTCAAGCAATGCAAGGAGGAATATGCAACATATGGTATAGCAGTTACCGATAAAGCCATCTGTGTTTTTGATGGAGAAAGTACGTAGAAAAATAATTCGTTTTGGGGTGGGTTTTTTTTTTCCATTGTCATCATGATATCAAAACAAACTTGAAGTACAATTGTTTGATATTTAAAAAAAGAATATTTAATGAATATGCCATTGCTAATTATGGATACATTGGAATGATATTTAAAAAAAATATTGCTATTTTTCTCAACTATTAACGGTAGTGTTGCTTCTTTTAAATTGTAGTCATTTAAAAATATTAATTATTATTAATAATAAAAAAAAACTTTTAAAAGAAAACTACAAAACGGTTAGCAATGAAAATGTTGTGGTCATGACCTCCGACCCTAAGAAGTTTCCTGCAATGTTTTATCAAAATACAATGACACCCAATCTCTCGTAAAATATATTTTTGTATAAAGAATTATTTGATTTTCAAATGGTTTGCCGTTTGGGGCAAGAAGTTTTAATAAGTTTATATTTAGAGTCACAGACTGTTGAGCTTTAAAAATATAAAAATATCCCTACCCCCCCACCCCCCTTTTTTTCCCCCAAATAAAGATTCATGATTTTTAACAGAATACATTTTTTCAATAAAAGGGAAATACACATTAGGAAAAACAACTCAGTTCATTGAGTGTTACAAAGAGGTGTGCTACTATATTAGAATAGTCATATATGATCAATACATTGACCGTGGGTCCTCAAAAATAGAAAAAATTTGGTTAAAAGTAGTTGAATAATGAAGAGAGACATATCAGTATGATATGATTAATGATCTTTTTCAAAATTTCCTTATGTAAGATCGTATGTGTGTGTGAGGTAAGCATTAAACGAAAGGGTGCGCTTCGCCGTAAGCGGGATTTAGTAGAGTTTCAGGAAAGCCCATGGCGCTGGAAGAGTCTTACATGACAACAATGTTATAGGGCACACCTCAGAAGTATGTGTACATTATAAACAGATAACAATCACTTATTACACAATGAAAAAATATTATCTAGGAGAGTTGATATCAGTGGTGTGCACTTTGGCAGGTAAAGGTGGGGGGACAGCCCTATACAGAACTTTTGTCATTTTATTATATTCATCCTCATCCTTCTCATGTCCCTTAGTCCTTGGACCGTTTGGGCGCCACAGAGGACATGTGAACTATCCTCCTCATATCCCTTAGTCCTTGGACCGTTGGGGCGCCACAGATGACATGTGAACCATCCTCCTCATGTCCCTTAGTCCTTGGACCGTTGGGGCGCCACAGATGACATGTGAACCATCCTCCTCCATTCCTCTCTGTCTTCAGCACCACGCACTGCATCGCCCAGTGTTATAAGTCCTGTCCACTCTTTGATGTTATCCTACCACCTTTTTCTTTGTCCTCCTCTTCTTCTCCCTCCTCTTGTGGTGCCCTGCAATATTTCTTTGGCAAGCTCTTGTTTCCTTGTTACGTGGCCGTACCATTGTAATTTGCGTTTTTTCCACAGTCACCAGTAGGTCATCGTACTCCCAAATTGCCTGACGAATCCTTTCTTTCACTGTATCATTGGAGATATGGTCCCGATAGCAGATGACAAAAATGCTTCTGAAGCATCTCATCTCCATCGCCTTTATTTACCTTTCATGATGATCGGCTGTTAATGTCCAGGATTCGCAGGCATACAGGAAAATGGAGAGTACTAATGAGCGTATCAGCCTGATTTTGGTGCTGTGGGCTATATTTTTGTCATTCCATATTTTCTTGAGCTTTTTTGGTGCTGTTATAGTCTGCGCAATCCTGGACATCAGTTCGGGCTTGGAGCCATCTTCTGAGACTATTGCTCCTAGGTATTTGAAGCGGCCGACAGTCTCTAATATTTCCTCCCCGAACTTAATTTCAGTGGTGATGCCTGCTGTATTATTTTTGTCTTTTTTGTCTTTTCGGCACTGATTAGCATGCCGTAGGACGACGAGGTCTTATCGAGACGCTTTACCAGGTCGGCTAGCTCTTCTTCGTTCCCAGCCAGCACGTCTATGCCGTCCAAAGCGTAGGTTGGTGATTGTTCTGCCACCAATGCTGACTGTCCCTTCATGCGCTTCCAGAGCATCTGACATAATTCTCTCTAGGAAGATGTTGAATAGGGTGGGGGAGAGCAGGCAGCCTTGTCGTACTCCAACCTTGGTCTTGAACCATTCTCCGATGTTGTTGTTGTCAGCCAGTAAACATATAGCCCTACTATGTCAGCCAGAAACATGTACGCCTACGATGTCAGCCAGTAAACATATAGGCCAACTATGTCAGCCAGTTAAAATATAGGCCTACTATGTCAGCCAGTAAACATATAGGTCTCACTATGTCATCCAGTAAAAATATAGGCCTACTATGTCACCCAGTAAACATATAGGCCTACTATGTCAGCCAGTAAATATTTAGGCCTACTTTGTCAGCCAGTTAATATATAGGCCTACGATGTCAACCAGTAAACATAAAGGTCTCTCCATGTCCACCAGTAAACATATAGGTCTCAATATGTCATCCAGTAAAAATATAGACCTACTATGTCAGAAATTAACATTTAGACCTACTATGTCAGCCAGTAAATATATAGGCCTACTATGTCCGCCAGTAAACATATAGGCCTACTATGTCAGCCAGTAAAAATGTAGGCCTACTATATCAGCCAGTAAACATGTAGGTCGACAATGTCAGCCAGTAAATATATAGGCCTTCTATGTCAGTCAGTTAATATATAGGCCTACGATGTCAACCAGTAAACATAAAGGTCTCTCCATGTCCACCAGTAAACATATAGGTCTCACTATATCATCCAGTAAACATAAAGGTCTCTCCATGTCAACCAGTAAACATATAGGTCTCACTATGTCATCCAGTAAACATATAGGCCTACTATTACTATATCAGATATTAAACATATAGGCCTACTTTGTCAGCCAGTACACATATGGGCCTACTATGTCAGAAATTAACATTTAGACCTACTATGTCAGCCAGTAAATATATATATGCCTACTATGTCAGCCAGTAAACATATAGGCCTACTATGCCAGCCAGTAAAAATGTAGGCCTACTATATCAGCTAATAAACATATAGGTCTACAATGTCAGCCAGTAAATATACAGGCCTTCTATGTCAGTCAGTTAATATATAGGCCTACGATGTCAACCAGTAAACATAAAGGTCTCTCCGTGTCATCCAGTAAACATAAAGGTATCTCCATGTCAACCAGTAAACATATAGGTCTCACTATGTCATCCAGTAAACATAAAGGTCTCTCCATGTCAACCAGTAAACATAAAGGTCTCACTATGTCATCCAGTAAACATAAAGGTCTATCCATGTCAACCAGTAAACATATAGGTCTCACTATGTCATCCAGTAAACATAAAGGTCTCTCCATGTAAACCAGTAAACATAAAGGTCTCACTATGTCATCCAGTAAACATAAAGATCTATCCATGTCATCCAGTAAACATATAGGCCTACTATAACTATATCAGATATTAAACATATAGGCCTACTTTGTCAGCTAGTACACATATGGGCCTACTATGTCAGCCAGTTAATATATATGCCTACTATGTCAGACAGTAAACATATAGGCCTACTATGTCAGCCAGTAAACTTATAGGTCTACTATGTCAGCCAGTTAATATGTAGACCTACTATGTCAGCCAGTTATTTTATAGGACTGCTAGTCAGTCACTAAATATACAGGCCTACTATGTCACCCAGTAAACATATAGGCCTGTTATGTCAGCCAGTAAACATATAGATCTACTATGTCAACTATGTCACCCAGTAAATATATAGGCCTACTATGTCAGCCAGTAAACATATAGATCTACTATGTCAACTATGTCACCCAGTAAACATATAGGCCTAGTATGTCAGTCAGTAAACATTTAGACCTACCATGTCAACTATGTCACCCAGTAAAGATATAGGCCTACTATGTCAGCCATTATCAGGCATAACACTTAAGATAATAAATGAAAGCCGGCGTTCAAGCTGTGTAAGAGCCATCACCAGCCAGAGGCGTAGCGTGGTGGGGGCAGGGGGGCGGATGTCCCCGGGCGCCAAACACCCTCGCTACGCCACTGTCACCAGCAGATAGAACAAATGGCATTTAGCCGAAACCTTCTCTTTTTATTGTCATGAATTTAAATTTCAAGATTCCACAAACCTTGATATAATTGTAGCCGAGTGGATGACGTTTAGCTTACAGTTTTATAAATAAGATCAAAATCAAACAACCAGGTCTTGAGGACTATAGCTTTTTAATTAATGCTCTCCTATGATGAAAACAAGAAAAAGGACACTATGAACTATGGAGAAGAAGCCTATGAAGAAAAAGGACAATATAGAGCGTTCCAATGGGCCGCACTGAACAAAGGCACACTGCAGGGATGCTGACCAATCTCGAATGACCCCCCAATTTAGTGTGCTCCCCCTTTTAAAGCCGTGCGCGGACATATGAGAGAGCTTCTCCGTCAGACTAAACCAAGTCGGTCTACGTTTTGCCTTCTGGCCAGTTTCCTGGGATAAAATGCCTAACGCTGGGGACTAATCCCGAGTAATAATTAAAATCTCTGACCAAAGCCCTAACGACTTATATGTGATCTGTGCAGTTTTATCTCAGCTATCTAAGATACTATTTTATATTTTTATTAGTTAAATAGTTCTTGAGATATTTTAACTAGAAGGGGTGGGGACCACTATAAATGAAGGCGAAAACTCCTTTAATGACTAAATGTTAAAATATTCTCCAACGATGGAAACTTGTAAATATGCTAAGGTATAGTGAATAAAATCCCCTTTCTAACTAGATATAATTTATAACTTAATACGCTAGGGTTCCCGAGAAATAAATTATTGATTTTCTAACTAAAGCGCACATCGTGGTATTCTATTATTTCCCCCCTATGGGCAGGAGAAGCCGGCCGTATAGAGACCGCCGGGTGGGGTGAAAGGGATACCTGAGTTCAACATTCCGATCCAGTGCTAGGCGAGGTCACACCGCGCGACCTCGCGTTGGGCGTCAAACAT